TTAAATAATCTCAAAATTGATGGTAAAAGTGGGGCTTCAAAAGTTTAAATGATCAAACTAAATTTTGATGAAACTTTTAAATCATAATTAGGTCAACTACTTTTGAATTGAAGTTTTTCTGTACTTCATTTCTTCTGTTTTTCATAAAACATCTAGATTGACCAGTCTACAAGACTTATAGTCACAGAGATTAATGTTCATTATGTGTTATCGATAATTAATGGAAATGTATTAGTCATATGTGAGTTATACTCACATTACTTCTCGTTTTATTTTTACATTATTATGTAACATGGTCAGCTGCAGATATATATCATTCAGCAGGGCTTGACAAGTGTTTAATGCGATAGTGAACTTCTCATAAACTGATGTAGCAATAATGATAATTTAAACTTAATCGACTTGAAATGAATTTTAAAGTCAACAGTTTAACGTCAAAAATTATTTTATTCAATATCAATTCAATACGATTAAGTATGAACAGAGATCGTAGTCATTGATAAACAGCATACTTCTGGGTCTAACATTGATCGATTCATGATTTCAGTGATGAATATAGTTTATAACTAAGGGTATATAGTATTTGTTAACGATGATGTATGCACAATGATGCACGATGATATACGCAAATTACCCACGGTTAGTAATAACAGAGCTAAATGTATATTTTCGTTTTCAGGCATTGATGATTCATGGCTTCGTTAATTTAGCTCACATTTATGCATGCATAAGATGTAGCAATTTCCCCAAATCGGTTAACTAAAAAGGGAATACAAACATTCTATTCCACTGAACTATATCCAATGATTACAAAGGCTTCATTAGAGCTTATATAAGTATGGTTTCAAATGGAACTCTCTCAAAACAAGCGTTAGTTTATAGCGGTTTCTCTTTGGGATAATCCTTATGCTTCATATATCGGTCTTCATGATAACCGTTATCAGATAAATTTCAGATAATACAAATCGGTGACTGCAGTTTATTGTACAGACCCGATCAGAAAGTCACAAGCTCACGAAGCCAATACAAACAAATACGTGATTCAGAATAAACAAAGAGGATCTAAGTGGCACATATGTGTGAGTGAGCGAATGAGTTATTGTTGTCTGAACTATCACTTATGCAAGAGGAATATATGTGTGGGGTGTAACATGAAATTAAGCATACTGTTCTTAGAAGTATGGAGATAACACTATGAGCAAATAAGTAAAATATTACCGACATAAAATGGCATAATTGAATGACTTAATTATAGAGCTTACTAAATTTAAACGTATTCGAATTTGGGTATAAGTGACGATGCAACAAGTATTGCATTTTCTTTTCAAATAATCCACTGAAATACAAATCCACGACAATAGTAAGTATATCAGAAGGAATATACAGTTTGTACACGAAAATTTCCATACATTAATTCACTTGGTTAATAGAACAGTCTTACTGAGCATGTTAAAAGATGGTTTTCATCAGTTCATCTAAAATCTTGTGTTATTCACTTAATCATAGTCGTACCAAATTTTATGCTTCAGTTACCTTTTTATGATCAATAATATTTTTGTGATCTCCTTATAGTATTTTATCTGCAGTGTAATATCTTATCATGTATAATTTCATTAAATTATTTCGATAAGTTTGACAAAAAACATTATTTTTACCTTACGTGTAGTGTCGAATGTTTTTTATTCGCAGAATATAAAAACACGACATCACTAGAATCGATTCGCACTACATATGATTTTACTTTTTTGAAGGTTTCGTTTTGAATTTCCTCTTACCACTGTAAATTTTGTCATGTTTATTAATTATCACGTATTTCACATGATCTCTTAAAATCGGTTTATGCCTAAAGAGTGTCTTGATGCCGAAAAAGAATAAACATTAAGCTTAGTTAGCTCTAGCAATATTTCATGGAGAGATGTGACAGTTGTACAGCTGCATTCAGAATTACACCAAAATAATCAATAACTTTTTGAACAATATTGATTGATTTCAAATGGTTTACTGTGATTAAAATTTGTATATATTTAATGCAAACAAAAAGATTGAAAGTGCGGCAACAAGTTAACTTTTCGGTCCTTCGTTTTATCTTTAATAAACAAATAAATACAATGAATATATTCTATTGAATCTAATTATTGCGATTAACTTCATTTTTGCCAAGCTTATTATTTTTGTGAGTTGTAGCAATATTACTTAGTAATAATTAGTAGGTTAATTTTTCTTCAAGCAATTACTTAAATGATTTGTTCATTATTCTGTTGGTAGTTTTACCTCTGCTTCAATCTGTTCACAGTTTCTTACTGAATGCTACTTATTGAAATTTCGTTTTTTGAATGATTTGATTTCATTCTGAAGCTTTCCCTAATGAACTGTAGACAACTACTTAAATAATCGACTTTCGTAAACGTGTGTAGTTTTCTGATGTAACGTCATAACTTCGGATTCACTTGAAACAGTTAAATATACAAATTATGGGAAATATGGAAGCTAAATAATCTCGTTGGGAGGATTATGTGAATTACATCTAGGTGAGAAGAATATTCTCAATTGCTTGTTTTTGAACCATAGTTAGCCAATAAACAGTTGTCAGATTTTTCGATTTTTATTCGGATTACCTGAGTAGTTATTACCAACGGACTAATCTAAGTTACATCCAAATTTATTTTGACTGAAGTTATTTGCAACTTTATGAGCAACTTATAATATCCAGCGCTTTCAAAAATTTGTCAGTCCATTCAGTATGTGAACACTGTATAGTATTGTAATTTTCATCGGAGATTTCATTTCAAGCCCTAAATTTTAACATATTTGTGTGATTTATCTTTCATATTCGGCTGAGCTACATAAGCATATCCATACTAGGCAGTTGCTGACAACTCTAGACCTTTAACATAAAATCTTTGTTGAAAGTTAAGCTCCAACATAAATTATTCGTCCACCAAATGGTTAGAATTGCCGAACCTAACAATCTCATCGAACATTCAAAACGTAGCATTTCGCATTCTTGCTAGAATAATCTGAAAATCATCTACACGCCTCATCTAGTGAACGCGCAGTAGCAACATAAAAATTCCAGCATTTCGATTCATACTCAGAGTCTCTTTGTGGCATTTAACACTTATACGTTATCACATATTAGCTATATTCAGAACAGTTTACAATGGAATTATTCTACGAAGATTATGTACGTAAAAAGCATCTGTTTGGTTCATTTATTCACAACCTTCATTAACTCTATCTACCATTGGATCACAATAAAATAAGCATCATCTACCTGAGTCAATTAGAATCAATTAAAATGTTAACTCTCTATGGATGATTATTCTTATTATTGATTTTTTTAGGTCATAAATATCAATTCTAACAAGTCGTTTTTACTCATTATTTTTTATAATCTATCATTATAGTCATCTGCCCAGGTAGTTCATCTTTGATAGGTACTTTTAAATAAACTTACTTCAAAGTCAGTGTCTTTATTAAGCTTAGATTGCTGACAATTGATATCTACTATTGACATTTCCTTGTGATTTCTTTTCATTAATCCTGATTGAAAGAAATGCAAAGAACTCTAGTTTATGTTTAACAACTTACCCTCTCCGATGTATTCTCTATCAAGTGGAATATCAACTGCTTCATGAGGTTTGATAATCTATCAAGTTCATATGACATGTTTTTATGCTACAGACATTTCCATTCCATTTACTGAAGCACTTGTGTACATTCCCTGGTCAGTTAAGATAGTCAGTGTCACACGATAATAAATGACTTATCAGGTTCGTTAACATAATATACTTGGTATCCTTCTTATCATGTACTAATTAAGATGATTATCTTATTAGTGTTTATTCAGAGCTCAATATACGTTACGATTAGATTGTGATTGTGCTATGTTCGTCACTAAGTACGCTTGAAATTACTACGGGTTCACCTCATTCGATAAACGCGAACGAGACAATGAAACAGCATCCAGGTGGGCTACCTTGATCAGAAACAGCTAAAGAGAAATTTTGATAAGCTGAGAGAGTATATTCTACAAACACCCCGCAAGCACAATTAGATCAAGCACACAACTCTCGTTTATTTATACATCACAGAAACGTCCCTGGGACAGTCACAAAAATAGCACACTAAAATACACGGCAGCCAATTACAGCCAAGGATTTTCCTGGTGGGAAATGAAATCTCAAGGTCAACTGATCAGCCCATGCTCGCAAACGTGAAACCCAAAATAAGGCATTGATCAAGCGAGTTCTGGGTATCTAACGTCCCCAACAGATTGGCATCTAACCAAACATAATCACTTATGCATGTCTTTATGGGGGAATTTTCATTAGTCATCAATAATACTACTGATAGACAAACACATCTTTAAGCATAGGATATTATTTTACTATAACCTCGACCTTGAATCTTGATAAACATTTTTTTTACAGAAAAAAGCAGTAATCATAACATGCTAATCTTTTTTTTTCATGAAAATGCATGAAGACATAGATATTTACATTGTGTGATGTTGAATAAATTACATGTGATTTGCGTAAATGCATAATTTCTCGATCAATTATTTAAAAAAAACAAACATAATAGTCAACCAAACGGTTAACTACTCTGTATCATAAGAGAAAATTGTTTGCATGAGTAAAGAAAATAAAACACAAGTAAATCAATAATAAAGATAACTCATCAATAAGTTAGTAAGAAATATAGCTAAAAACAAAAAAAAAGAAAATTATAATAGTTTTGATACGAAGTTATTTTTCATTGAAAAAGAAATGAATTTATCAAAAAAAAATGATCTGAATGTCTGTAAAAAATCACATTGTATTTGATACATATCAAAGTAATTTTTATAAATTGTTTACAATTAATCATATACATCTACCATTCGGTTTATCAACAACAATCTTATATTCAAACAGTCTCTTTCAGTTCCCTTGAATACTTTTTGTTATAATGTTGTTTCGGATCGTCCTGTTCATCTTCTTCATCATCATCCGCATAACCACCTTCATCTTCATCTGTTTCAAGTGTTCTAAGAGGTGTACTAGCTAGTGGAGGTGCTGAAGCTGAAGCTTCTATTTTCGGTTGTTTTGTTTCTTTGGAATGTTCTTTAAAATTAACTATACCACGGGATAATTTCAAGCCTAAATGATGCATTTGACTACAATCGTGTTTACAACGTGTCAAATCACGATAGAAATATTTTTCACGAAATGTATGCCATAATTGACAAACTATTTCAGAACAAATCAATTCACCGGCATTGATAGCAATCATACGTAATAGAAAAACACCATCATTACGTAAAAATAATAGAGTGAATTTCTCCACCATAAATTTATCTTTTCTACTAACTTGTTCACCAAGTTTTAAATATTTTCTAACAAAACGTGTACGTGATTTTTCATAACTCATACGTGTAAACCATGCTGGTATACTAATAGCTGTAATTGTTGCTGCAAGTACAATCCAAAACCATAAAAACATGTAAATACGTTCATTAAGCATATTTACTGGTAGAACACATTGTGCTGTAGCATAATTATTTGATCCAAAATGTTTTAAAGGTACTAAACAAAATCCAACACGTGGAAAAATCATTGTCACTTCCCAATCTAGACCAGATAAAATATTTCTAGATATAGTAATACCAAATAGTGTATGATTTGTTTTTAGACCAAGAAATGATTGCATTAGAAATATTTGTCCAATGGCATTTAATAAATAAAGACATTTAATGAATAAATAAATTCCAAATAATCTTGTTCCAAGACGTTTACTAATAAAGAATACATAGCCCCATTTTCTAAGTCGACGACGTACTCGAGGCCATAATCCATGATTGTATTCACGTTGCTAAATAAAGGAAATAGAGAAAATTTGTATCGATTAATAAAATCAACACATTAAATTTTCGTGGTTAAATAATAAGTATCTCACTGAATAGTCATGTAATATGAAGCACTTCGTAGTGATCAATAAAAGCGAACAACCGCTAGTTATTTTGCGACGTTCATTTTCATCCTTTACTGGTCATTAATTAACTGATCAGTAAGTCATATTTCATTCTTATTTCAGTTGTGTTTTGTTCATGATAGTACTTAGTATTCCATGTAATCAATTGGTTAGGATTGATTTTATTACTAAAAGTATCAGTCCAACAATACGAATAATGTTTAATATTTTGTGATAACAAGTAAGTCACTATAACTCATCTCATTTTTCCAAACAGAGGATTTAAGCCTTTTTTTAAAAAGAATATTTATTGAAATTCGGATCATATTAACTGGGACGCTTCAAACAAGATAAAGGTTTGTTCATTGTTCTGAATGATAACCATCAATGTGCAAAAAATGTAGATATATCATTATAATCTATGAAGAGAGCAGATGAGATTCGTTCAGAAAGTAACATGTCAGTTGAATCGCTACACTTAATTAGTATAATGAAATCACACATTACTCGTGAATTTTGTCTTTTAACTTGTTATCTTAGTTCTGTGAGAATTCATTGCAAACTCCCAATTTAGGTAATGTTATTATTATTCAGTAAAGAAAGTGTAATCAATGTGTTTCATTGTCAAATTGTAAACTATCCACAGTTAGTAAGTCATCATATCATAGTTAAAGTTGCGTTAAATGGTGCCTAATTTTGAATGATCGCGAAAATGAAGTTATTTACTTATTATTATCATAATTCATATTGTTCATGCAAAGCGCTTTGTTAAAACAACAATATTTCACACGTACATTGATTATCATAAACCTTTTATCTATGTATCCATCTAAAAGGAGTATTAATTCCGAAAATTCTTTCCCACATTGTTTTTTCATGGATTGATTCAAAATCCTTAATTACCTAAACATATTTATACTTGCATTGTTAATACTACCCCATATTTATTTGGCGTATTTGGCAATGAAAACCTTGTCGTGTTGATATTTCCTTCTAACTAAACAATAAACATTTTGTTAGGGAGAAATTTTAAAACTCGTAGGCAGAAAATTAAATATAAACTATTCAATTGAGGTGAAATAATAAATTATGATTTTAAGCATACAAATATTTCTAGTTGAGAAAAAAACATTACAAAGGTATTCTTTGCACAAAAGTCTGATGCATAAAATTAAAAAAAATTAATAGCGTAATAATTTAGTTAATGATTCATTGGGTAGATCGAACAAACCCAAAACGTTTAAGGTAAATTCAAAATATTTGTTAGCGCATCGGTCTGAGACATTTAACAATCGCATAAGTTACAAAGATTTGTATTCATTTCATGTTGTTTTCAAGTAAAATGGCAATAAAATGTATTTCAATGGCCGGAATACTAACGAAATAAATAATTAATGATACCTTCTTCTAGAAAAATGCAAACCTTTATCCGTCGCACAATGAATGTGAATGTAAAGTCTATTTCAAAAGAAATTGATCGAACTATGCAGTGACTAAGCAAAATTTTACATATTTACATGTAACCGCTAATTCACTGCTAACTGAGCATGTTATCTTTGGATTATGAGTTTTGTGAAAATATACTATAAAAAATTCTCAATATCCAACACTTCCATGACAGAATTATTGGTAGGCGATTTTCTAATAGATTAAAAATACATTATAAAACAACCCATTTCTTAGTATCGTTAATGAGTAGGTTCACTCGCCACACACGCGATTTGACGAAAAATGCAAAATTTAGGATTGCAGTTTACACGATGGTTATCGCTTGGATCAGGTTTCAAGTAAATTTAGAAAAGTGATCATTTCTCTGGTTGATATATTCATGGATTTAGTCGCTATTGTGACGGATATATATATATATATATATATGACCTAGGCGAAGACTATAAACAAACTGAATGTGTGTTCACAGTACCATTTAGATATTCAAGTATACAGTAACAAACCAATTCATAAATAAGTTTGTTCAAGATGGTTTTGGATATTCTGAAAGCAATATTAAAAAAAATATTGATACTTGTCCGCATCTTTAGACACTCACAGGATCAAACCGAGAATCCTCTTGTTGCTCTTATGAGAGCGGTACTACTGACGTACTTCTGAGTAGGCCCATGTTCCTGACTTCAATTAATTAGCAATTTTATAAGGTTTCTAACTAATATTACTATTGAGTAACTATCTCGCTCCGTAATTAGTTTAAGCGAATAAAATAATTTAATAAAAGATAGTTTTATCTTAATATCCAATCATTCGTGACTACTGTGAATCGTATACAGAAAAAGAATCGAAATTAAATTAGTCATCTACAGTGAATAGTTATTTTCTTCATTGAGCTATAAATTTATTTCCCTGAATAAAAATCAATCATAGAATCTAATCCACAAAAATGCGAAAGCCAAAGATTTACATTTGTTACCGATCGGTATATTTCCAGACATTGTATATATATACATACATGCATTAAAACACAACATTGATTATCAGGAACTAATTAAAATTACCAAAAAGACTAACATTTAGTGGATTGTCAAACTGAAAATACGATCTGATCAAGTGTGCAGAAAGATGCATTCATGCAGAAATTCCCAAAGTCTCCCAAAAGAATGAAGAAAAGAAAAAAACTAAAACTAAATTTAGTTGGTTTTTGTTTATTCATTATTTTTATCCGACAAAACTGAATACTTATAACAATTTTAGTAGTAGTAGTTAACAACAACAACATTTGCCTATCAATAGAAAAAAAAACTTCAAAACATAAGAAATATTATTCGAATCTTAGTCATACTCTAATATTATGAAAGCGAGAAATGCATTTAATAAACAATAAGGCACAAATTAAATAATGGAGAAATCTGAAAAATGAAGCATCTCTTTGGTTTGAAATAGTCTCAAGTCACCGGTAGCTTAATATCTTTCATAAGCATAGCATCGATTTGGAAATGAAGTGCAAAACTAGAAACGCCAAAAAAACCAAACAAACACATACACATTCATGATAAAACATTGTTTAAACGCAGGACTGTTTTTTCTTTAGTTCGGTCCCTGTATTTCCACTGTCGTGTTTAGAACTGTTTAGTATTGATGAGTCTGAGGTTTGCAAATTTCTCAAGTACTCATTTTCATAATTTACTACATTCGTTAAAGGATCGATTCTGGATCCTTTATTCCAACTAGATTCTGATCTATTTGGATGAATTGTCTCTTTATATAAATCATTATGATTTAATCTCTGATTAGGATGTTTCTGATTTTCAACTTTCGGTTCAATAACAATTCTACGATAATTCAACCACATTTCATTGATAATATCAGATGTGACTAATTCACCAGCATTCGATGCAAGCATGCGTAACAGGAACATTCCATCACGTCGTAAGAATTTACGTGCAAATTTCTCAGCGAAGTATAAGTCAGATGATGTTAAGACATTAGATAATTTAATATATTTTATCACAAATTGGCAACCACGACTCTGGCAGGCGAATTGTAAACACCATCGAAGTAGACTGCAAAAATTTACTAAACAAACTAATAAAATCCACCACCAAAGAAATATGTAGATTTTTTCATTCAACATATTAGCTGGTAAAACACACTGAGCTGTAGCAGTGTTAACTTTTGTACCCAAGTGTTTTACCGGTGCATAACAATAGGCTACACGTGGAAATACTAAAGTGGACTGCCAATCTTGACCATGTAGTATATTATATAGAACGCCCATACCAAATAAACTAGAATTATAATCTGTAAAGCCGAGAAAGTATTGCATTAAAAATAATTGGCTAACTGAATTACCCAAATAACACAGCTTTACAAGTAAATATATCAACGAGAGGAATGTTCCAGTATAACGAACACATTTAAGAATATTAATTGTGTTGCGATATCTACTTGTTACACAAGGGGCTTCATAATCTTCAAAATCAGTATCATTATTGAATCGTACAATCTCATCAGGATATCCATCACTGTTCATTTTGTTTAAACAGTATCTCGCATTAGTGTCGTGCGTTTGTTCATTGATATTTGGTGCAATGTTGATGCAAGAATCAAAATCTGACCTGTGTTTACGATGAAGACGATACGATTTTGATACAAGTCGTCTTTTCTGTTGCTAAAATCCATTCGCAGACAATGAGATAAAGCGAAAGTTTTACCATCAAATCAACCAGTCAAATGACAGTAAATCAAATAGTGTATCATCCCCATACAAACAAATAATTATTATAACAAACAAGCATAGAATGTTGCATGCAGGAATCCATTATTGTATACCAGCACATGTTTTTTTTGATTGTATTTGTGCAGAAGCAAGAGTGGACGAGTGAAAAAGTTAAACAGTAGACATGCATGAAATAGAAAAAAACGTAAACAACTATGTATTTGTATGTCCTTTACAAAAACAATAATCGCGACAACAAATAACATGAAGTGGGTCAATTAATACAAAGTTATCACACACTACTGATGATCTCATGCAAAAAGGTAACACTAATTGAAAATCAACAACATTGAAAGCATGCACATGTGGACAAGTGTATACAACTAACTAACTAGCAGTTATAATATGCATGGAAGGGGAAGGAAGTGGATAATGCTGATTATTAAATGTTGGCTAAAGAGATTGGAAATAAGCTTCATCATTGTTCCAGTTTATGAAAAAGATGATATATCTGATAGCAAAAAAAAACTGTGTAAACACCGAGTGTACACAAGGAGAATTAATATAGACCAAATCTATTAGTACGTTTACATCCAAGCCTACAATGCTTAATCATTTGATACAACTCAAAAGATTCAATACGAAATAAAGTTTATCACCATATGTAATGTGGATTGATTATTACGTTTACTAACCATGACTCGAATTCAATAAAATAAGCACCTTGTGCATT